CAGCGGGCTGTGATGCTCAACAGCTTCAGCTTGTGTTTCTTGAAGTAGCTTGTGATGATGCTGAGGTCTGCTTTGGACTGCTGTCCTGCTGTCAAAGCCACTTTTCCATTTCGGCTTCACAGACTGCATTCACGGACATTTGTATCCTAAATGTGCTGATGTTTCGTGGGATCACAGCCCTAAAGCGCCCTTTGTTTCTAAACACAGACTTTTAAACATATCTGTATATAATAAAGAGTTGAAAATAAAATGACGAGAAACTACATTTGTACTTGATTCACGTAACTGCACAATGATGGTGTTTTCCTAAATGTAAACTCCAGCTGTTGAGTCTTCGCTGCTGTCAGGAATGTCATTCTAAAGGAGAAACACCCACGTGTGACTTGAAAAAAACATTTCCCGCAAAATCTAAAACTGTCAGGATCAGCTAGAAAATAAATAATAATCACATGTATAGGATCTACAGCGTGAGCGCACTGACCGTCACTGCCGTCGCCCAAAGCCTTGTACAGCGTGTTGATCGCAATGTCCAGCAGCATGCGTACGAGGGTGAACATCTTTAGCGTGCTGGTGACCAGCACGCCGAGTGAATACAGCTGCACCAGTGTCCTGGCCTTCCTTTTCTGGTTGTTTCTAACAAACGGCTTGCGACGCTTCTCCTGATCAGCGGGGTCACCAGACAGACCTGCAGACACAAACGTGACACGTTCATGATAAAGCCCAACAAAGGGTAAAACGCATTTCTAAAATAAAACTCTTTTAAGTCAAGAAATAAGAATCCAAGGGCCCCTGAGTAAAACCACTGATCTCCCAGCAGCCTGGCTTCACCAGAAGCCTTCATCAGGTGTTTGGGTGAAGGCTTCTGGGGCTGGAAGCTCAGAGGAAAGCATTCTGCAGGACTCTCCCAGTATTTATATCAGAACCAAATTCATCCTGCAGCAGGAAAGCGACCCGGAACATCCTGCCACAGTCACACAGAACTAGAACTTGAGCCACCAGAAGAACAAGGAGTCCTCAGCAGATGGTCGAGGAACCAGACGGCCCTGAGCTCAGCATCATGGAGCCAGACATGAAGAGACAGAAGACACTGAGACAGACTCAATCCACAGAGGAGCTGTGGCGACTGCTTCAAGACGCTTGAAGCAGCCCGTTTGCCAAAGACCCAGAGAACCTGAGGAGACCTGCTGGTGGTCCCGAGTGCTGCTGTGACTCGTCTGTTCTCTTTCATGTGCTGTGTACTGAGTAAGGTGAATGAGCTACTTCACTGAGTCCACCATCTGGACTCCCAGCAGCAGTCTACTCAGAGCTGCTGTTTGGTCGTATAAAGTTCTGCCCGTCCATGGAAACAGAACAACCATGTGATCCACGAGAACAGGGGTCTGCAACCTGAAACACTCAAAGAGCCATTTGGACCCATTTCTCACCGGGAGCCACAAAACAAAAACAAAAAAACATTTCTGACATTTATTTAAGTAAATGAATTGTTATATGAATTGAGTGATAGAAAAAGAATCTCCAGAGCAACTGATTAATGACTCATTACAACAACTGTA